TAGTAATATATATATATATATATATATATATATGCCCACACATTAATATCATATTCTCCCCCGCCAGAAACTTTTTTGTATTTTGTCAGTGTATACATATAATATATACACTGATATACACATCTGTACTAATTTGGGACCATCAATCAAGAACGGTCTACATCTTGCACGTGTGCATCAGTCACCAAAAGCCGGAAAAGAACCTCCGTTAATGACAAGATGAATGGCATGGTTAATGTTCTCCTTCAATCCAACGACTCTCCAACACACACGTATCTTCGACTCGTGTAGAATCTCTGTCGCAGCGTGTGTGGTGTCGAAGCACGTGGCCGAGCCAGCACAGACGTACGAAGAAGCCCGCCCGCCCCACCGACCCATGCATGCACTCACAAGGACGAGTCAAGCTTTTAATGGTGTTCTTAATTACTTGTCTCTTCTCTTCCCCGTGATGTGATGCATGCGCCACAATGTCGACATGCTCTCGAGCCCACGGTCGTCTTGCAGCCCCGACTGGTCTTCCCAAAATGCCACTCTCAGCTCTCTCACAAGGAGGAAGTGCACACGGCACGCAAGAATGAAGACATCATGTCCTCATCTGGGTCCCATCCATCCATCTGCCCCATTCGATCTGTGTCCTCCTCCTCCTCATCTGTATTCCAGAAACGCCCTCCGCGATCCCAACGTCACTGCCTTCTTTAGATTCACTGCGACGTGGCTTTCTTCACCGTCATGGGCATTTGGGTCCTCTAGCGAAAGCTGTGTTGAAGAGGCTCTTCCCAAACGGTGAGCCTTTTGGAGTCGCTTCCAGGGTTATACATAACACGGGACTCCTAAAAAGGAAGACCGAGGTGGAGAGAGGAATACCGCGCGATGGGTGGCATTTGGGAGGAGGCAATCCATGTGGTGTTGGGTGTGATCATGAGGAAGAGCTTCTGCAGGTTGCATGAGGTGAGCCACATGGCGATGGAGCTCATCTCCTTGATCTCCACCGTGCTGCGGTTCTCCGGTGTGGCTCTCCGGAGGCCGGTGCCGGTTCCGGCCAGGTACTCCCCACTGTCGTCCATGGTGGCCAGGCATGACAGGTAGCAGAAATCTGGGTGGGTGGTGTTCTACTTGCACTTTGTGTCCCTCTTCTGGTTTGAGATGAGGAAGGACTTGTTCCCCCCTTTCATCTGTTTCCACATAAGCTCTTCTTCTAGGGTTCCTCTTCTTCTTCTTCTTGTTTCTGTGGAGCTTGAATAAGTGGTATCACTCAAGATGGTGCTCACATTCCATCTTTCTTTCATAGACATATTATATTTGTTGTTGTAATTTTACATGTACATGAAAAAAATTAAGACATGTAATACTGATGTTTAAGGCGTAAATGCTGTTTCGATTAGTGTTAAGCTATATAGATCTAGTTTAGACATGTGATCATAGTACTAGTAAATCTACCATTTTAGATCTAGATATTGAATGCTGTTGTACACAGTACTTGCTAGAAGCAGTGGCATTCATGAGTTGCTGAAAGTTTGGTAAGTTGAGGCTACTAAGAGTTCATGAACAGCATTCGATGATGGGAAGAAAAGTCTCGAGAGAAGCTTGTGTGTTAGACTAGGCAGATCAGCTTGTTGTTGATGCTTCGTATTAGGATTTCCAACTATGTTTCTTAGTCGAAGACTTCCCTTGTGTGACCTTCTAAGGTACCATTCAAGTATTACAAATCCTTACTTGGATGTAAGTGGTAAATCACTTAGCAAAGCCATTAATGTTCTCAAAGAACAGCATTCGATAGCATACTTTATGGCCTTCTTACTCCGAATGCAGTAAAATCCTCTTCTTGCAAGAAGGACTCTTTATGGCCTTCAACGCATGTGTGCTTTCTCTCCTTCCCCATCCTCTACAAAAGTGTCTATCTTAATGCAGATCTGCCACATCCACACCTTGCTCATGCAATCAAAAGCATTTGATGAACTATAATATGCTTTGGATCAGTTTTAGCTACAGGATAATTAGTAACATGCACACCTTGCTCATGAAATCAAAAGCATTTGAATGGAACAAGATCTACAGGAATACTAGTAACAGGTCAGCATGGAAACAAAATAGAACATTTGAATGCAATGACAGTCCAACATTTACATTGCAATCTTTGATTTGGGACTTATAGATTCCATATAGGAAATGAACGCTCGGTGAATGTAGAACAGAGTCAAATACAAGGATTCACAGATGCTCCTTGTCATGTAACAATATTACAATGATGCCTGGATTGAGGATGCAGTGGACAACAAAATGTCATTAGATCTGTCATGTTTAAGATTATAGCTGATCAATAGCAAATAAAAAAAGATCAGTTCATTAGGCCATTAGAAGAAAAGATCGAGTTATCGGCTTAGACATTATCGCAAATCCTTTCATAACCTAGTGAATGATGATGAGAAGCATAAGATCATGGTACTGGAAATTGTAGGGTGCTAATAGAAGTTACACCAGCAGACATGATAGGTAGAATGACAAAGAATAAGAAGATTGAGAAGTAGCAGATGATCATGAATCAAAGATTGTAAAACTAGGAAATGAAGATTGAACAGTTTCATTTTTTTTCAATTTAATTTATATTTTTCAACACAAATGCAAAGAGGTCAAGCCATTTGTATTAGTTACAGAGGTTATGCAGCCAATGTGCATTAGAGTGTATTTGAGGGACTACTATACTACAAAACAATTCCTAAGTTTATGTTTGTGACAATGATCATGCCATATCATTGAGTTTGGTCGAGTGATGCTTTCAATGTCATAATCATTAAATGGTTCATTTGTTCTTTTTTGTTAGTTTGGTTCATTGATTTTGATCTTGTTTCTATTCTTATGTTAACCTATTGACATTACCGAAGAGTATTATTGAAGGAAGTCAAATCACACCTGTTTTATGTTTATATCAGCTTGTAGTTGAACCAAATATTTGTTCCAAATAAGTTGCTGATTGTTCACAGAATTAATAGGAAAGTGCATCTACACAAATATAGATATATACTTCTTTTTTTGTATGTTTGCATGCAAAGACTAGTGTTTTGAGTGATATATTTGCTTGAAGCACTTGTCTTTGACTGTTGTCTTTTCTCCATGCCACACTCGAGAGAATATGCTGAAGAAGCTCTACGACACCCAAAATAACACAGAAGTCTCAAAGTATGAGAAACCTGATTGTTTTGATCATCACTAGCAGAAGTGGAAGA